CCGTAAGATCAAGCGAGCAATCAATGTCTTCAATCACAATGATAGACTTACTTTTTGTATCCAACAACAACTTCTTCAGCTCTGAGTTATCCTTCACGGTCGTTAGCTCAAGATCATACACATCATACTCCAAGAAATTCGCTATTGCTGATATCATTGTCGATTTCCCTGTCCCGGGCGGGCCAAACAAGAGATAACCGCGCTTCCATGGCTTCCCGACCTTCTTATAGTAATCTTTGGCTCTACTAAACTTAATCAAATCCTTCTTAATCCCTTCCTTTTTCTCAGGATCCATAGCCAAAGTGTCGAACGTAGCCGGGTGATGAAAAGGAACATTGCTCCACTTTCCTGTTCTCCAAGGATACCAATCTTGACTCGAGTTATTAGTGTAAAGCTTCCTCTCTCTGTTCCTCAACCCAATCTCTTTCCCTTCTCTCAAAACATGCTCAAGATAACCCTTAGTGATCATCTCTCTGTGCTCCCTATGGAAACTAAGAGTGAAGTACCTTCTCTCTTCAGAGCCATTACCACGACTCTTATTAGATTGATTCTCACTCTTTGCCACATTCGAAGACCATTTTACCATCACACCTTCAAACTCATCTTCGACTGCCTCGTGATCGTCTAGACTAAGCACCAAAGATTTGCTGTTTTTAGTTTCGTTGGCCTTTAATCTCTTTGCAAAAGCCGTTGATTTCGAGGATAAGTAGTTGCGAATGGAGTTGTAAGCTTCACTTCTCTGGAGACCTTCTCCTGTATACTCGTCGAACTTGATGTGAACAGAATTAGAAACCCATCCCATCAATTGGTAAAAGTGTTTCTCGATGTAGACTTGGAGATGATAAGGGAAATACTGTTTGTAAATCGCCCAAAAGAACATAAGACTCGTCATCGTCGAGCCTGTGAATCCCCAAATTGCTCCGGTCCCAACCATCTTTGTAAACACTTGTGTCCCACGAAACTATTGCTTTAGATTTTTCTTGAGACTTGTTTAGTTGTTGTGTTCTGTTTTGGACTCTTTGCCTCTTACCATCACAGTCTATATTTATGAACTCATGTCACAACCTTCGAGTGGTTCAGGGAACGCCACGCTATTTCTTTATTTATCATTTTGATAAAAGAATTTTGATTTATCTTATAATGAAATTGTTGTAATATTGATGGATCCTGCAAATTTGGGTTCGTGCTGTACGTATATTATTATAATAACATTGTGGAAATTTCTGAGTTCTGACCAATTCAGGACCTTGCAATAAAGTGACATAAAGTGGTGACGTAAAACTTTTGGAACTATATATGTACAAAAATACAAAATGTTACGATAGTTTTCCGAAGGCACTGTAGTGTGGTCACACTTGTAAATAGACTTAGAGCATAATCAATGGGAGGATTTAAGTAGGGTTGTTTAATAATTTTTTTATTATAAATTGTATTTAATTTTTTAGCAACTCATAGTTTGGATTGCTAAAATCTCTAAAATAAGCAACTTTCATTAGAGTTGCTAAAAAAATATATTTATTATTTAATTATTTTTAATTTGTAAGCAACTCTTTATATCTTTCCATTGATCCTGCTCTTACGAATTAACTTTCATATCCACTATCACAAGTAAGTCGTCCACTGTACAAAGACTTGTGTTCACACTTGTACACAAGAAGAGCATGTTTATGGGTAGGTAATATGAGTAAAATAGTCGGCTTTTAAGAATTAATTAAATCAAAAATCAATATTAAGGTTCTAAAAATCATGCTAAAGTTCTATATCTAAGATCTATATTACCCATATTTAGTGGGATAATATACATCTCTCTATCTCTTTATTTCTTTTCATTAATCCAAATACAATTAATATTATAAAATTTATATATTACTCTAACATATTTAGTACCTATAATCATCCTTACCATATAAGTGTCGTATAGTCAAATCAAATGACTCTATTTCTATGCATTGTCAATATTAGAAAAAAAAAATTGGCCCCAATGACACTTTATTTCGTTTTGGGCTGTGTTTATAACACTTAATTTCGGGCCTTTGTGAGCTTAACACTTTCGTGTTTTGTTGGTCCATTTTGCCCTTGCCCGCGGTTGAGCCCAATCGTCGTGCCCTCTGCCCGCGTTTGTTTTCACTCGCGAATAAGTGTTTTCATTCGCGTCTCTTCGGCCCCACCGTGATACTCAAAAAAGAAAATGTGACGCTTAATTACTTATGCGTCTTTCGAAAACAACCTCCTAACGTCTCTGTTCATCTTCAGCTTCTCGTAATTTCTGTAGATCTAGGTTTTACTGTTTTAATCCGATATGGCCGACGAAGAAGAGTTTGTCCGGCTGCAAGGTTGTAAACATATTGTTCTGTGTACGTGTTTACGGTTGTTTGCAAACGTAATGTCTGATTCTGACATCTTTTTATTTGTGCAGAGAAAGTCCTGACAGTTCAAATACGGCCTCCTAAACCGAAAGAATCCGATCTCTGCGACTCGGAATTACCTCCTCGAATTTTTGTTCGTGATTATTATCGGATTGGT